GGTAATCTAATTTCAATTAAAATGTCCGATTTATCTATAATATTTCTGATATTTATTTATTTATTTTTTTACAGGTTCTTTATATAACAGTAATCGAAATATCAAACTAGAATTACTTAGAATCCTTTAAAATTATTCTGCTCTTGATGAATTATCATTACACGTCAATGAAAATCAATATCTTTCAGAATGTTTAACTTATATCGCATCTAAAAAAATAGTCAGTAGTCTTGCAGCTAATAAAGATTTTGATCTAGTGAATTATTCAGAATTTTTGGTAATATCGATGAATGTAAAAGAAAAGGCAGGGATAGGGTCAGAACCTTTTTCAGAAGAGTTTCTTAAACTAATGAAAAAAAATATGTTTATCACAAGAAATTCTAGTATTATTAATCGAATATTATCATAATGCATATGGATATTCTTTTGTAAGCTTATCAGATATTCATAACTTATCAGAAGAGTCAATTGTAGTTTCATCAAGAATAAACCAATTTGCTAGATTAAGATTCAGAGCTGAAGTAATTGGTTCAAAACTTTTAATAAGATATATTGGGTCAGTAAATATACTATCACGATTTATTTTAGATAATGATACAATCAATATCTATCCTGGTCAGGTTCAATTATTTTTTGAACATTCAATAGGTTTACCAGGAAAAGGGTCAGTGATATATTCTTTGACCTTTATTAGATGGTATAGAGTAGCAGATGATCAAAGAAGCAGATTTCATTGTCAAACAAATGAAGACGGAATAAATATTTATAATATTGAATTATAGAAAAAAGGGTTTATGAATTAAGTCATGATTGTATCATACCAATACATAACATTTTAGGACGTTTCATTTCTGAAACGATGAAAATTGGCAAAAAAACACTTAAAAAATATATGTCAGTTATTTCTATCAACAGAAAAATTATATATAAAAATTAATTTGCAAATATCAATCTGAACTTGTTTGATTATAGATATATATAAAAGATTTTCAGTGTTAACTAAGTTTTATATTTGATATATTTTATCTAATAATCTGATGGGTCAATGATACTTTAATTATTGTCTAACTAGTAAGATATCAGGATTTTATATTTTACCAGTATTTCATTTAAAAAATCAGAATACTATATTATAAATATCATTAAGCAATAGAATTACTGATAACTTAATTAAAATTTACAAATATTTTAATGATGCTACTTTTGAGAAATCAATATATAATTAATAAAATATCAGTAACATATTGACTACTGATATCTATATGATTGCTAAAATTATCTATCAGTATCATACTGGGTTCTGATATATTTCTGATATTTATATTATTTGCTATAACCTGATTTCTCATAATTTGACCAGTGTAAGTTTCAGATCTTATCTTGAAAGCTCTTCAAACCTGTTAGATTATTTTTGCACTATTAAATATATGATATGCAATCTTTTTCTATAATTCATATTCATAGTCTATATTACATCTATAATTCTGACTAGAAAAATCAGTATATTTATTATATATCTTATAAATTTCATCTTTACTTAGTTCTGATGCTATTCTTTCTCCTTTTTGAACAGGATTAGAATATACAAGACGCTTTTTGGCTGTTTTAGCAATGCATTCATTCAGATATTTATTTGTACATTCGATGGTATTTTCACAAATAATTATCAAAGAGTCATATACAGTGTAATAAATACGAAATGAGCGTCTCTCAGCTTTAAATCCCTCATCTATATATACTCTTTCAATTATCTAGATAAATCCATTCTTCAAAAAGTATTTTAGGTTATATTCAAAAAGTTTCTTAAATAAGTAATGAATACGAGAATATCATATTTCTGGTATTTCGTCACTATACCTATATTGTAAATTGTTTAACGCCTGTATTACTACAGGATTTAAACCAGAGTAGTAGTTATTCTTAGCCATTTTACGAGTATAGAGAGTTTATAGCAGTTTATTAATTATAGTAGATTTTAATAATTTATATCAATTTAATATTATGTTTCAAATTTATAAAGAGTTAGAGCTGAGCCAGATTTAGATTATATGCAGTTTGGATGAATATTAAAACTTTGTTGCACATAAATCAAATACATCACTTGCATGAAAAAATAGCACACATTGATTAAAATTACAAAACCAAATTGGATAAACTAACAAATACTTTATTATAGATATCACTAAAATTATTATATATACTGTATATGTGAAAAAATAGATACATTTTGAATATCACTACTAAAGGGAAAATAACACATCATCTCCTTAAACAGCGGGAGCTTTAAACACTTTAAGACTATAATCTAAACATACATTTTCATCCTTCTTGTAAAACCTAAGGTATCCTTTTATAACCATTGTATCAATGCTTACGATAACACTATCAGTGAGGCTTTTTTCAAAATATTCAATAGAGATATCAAGAATTATTATGCAAGCTTTAAAGCTCAGATTTACAATTATTTTTAATTCAATTATACTGATGATAGAAAAAGCATATTCTAATTTATTATCCTTGTTTTTATATCCATCTTCATTGAGTTGTTGAATTGGAGATACAATTATAACATAGTTATTTGAGAAATTACTACTATGAAATATTTTTACTTTAAAGATAGGGGTATAAAGCATTTGTGCTTTAAAGTTAAAAGAATCTTCAAATGAAAACATAACAGATAATTGAAGTTTTAGGTAATAGCAAGGAAATTAAACAGTATAAAGATACTATGAAGTTTTTGTCTGTTAACAATTTATTATTAAAAAGTGAGAAGGAGAAAGTCGTTGTATTTATAGCTAAGTAATAGAATGTATAATGCATTTTGATTTTTAACACTCACGCTTAGATTAATTAGATTAGCATGAGAAATTCTTTCCAAATTTTGAGAACACTTTACATAAAACAATAATAAATCTCACATAAAGATGATGAATATTTTCACATCTAAATTATCGAAATAAAGAAATAATAAACATAAATTTGCTAAACATTTTTGTTATTCAATTTTGACCTGATATACAAGAAACGCATAAAAGTGGTCATACAGATGATCAGATGACAATCATTTTACGTTGTATAAAAAGTTATTAATTTTAGGTATTGTTGAAAAGTGCATAATCGCTCCAAAATTTGTTCAGATATTTTTTTTTCAATTGAGATAAAAACAATTTGCATGAGAAAACTCGCTTGATATACTTATATATTTATATTAATCAGCTTCAAATCAGTTTGTACATGAGAAAATAATATTTATATAGACAGATGGCAATCATTTTGCATTAGCGATTATATGATAAGATTTTTATTTTTTGAAAATGTGTATGCGTTATAAGTCACACAAATGTATCACAAATTTTAAAAAAACTATTTATTATGTTTTTTAAAAATCAGCTAGCTAAGTAAGAATGAAAGTAAAAAATAACAGAGTAGCAGGTTATTTCAAAGAAGAAAAGGCATAAAAGAACATGTCTGCTTGATAAGCTCTAACTCATATACTGGCAGTTCCTTTCCCGCTACTCTGTATCTACCCGTAAACTAATATTATCTGAATGTAAATGTGATTACATATTAATAAATTGTGTTTTAGATATGATGATATTAAATGGGAACCATTTTAATTATACATGCACAATGGCGCTTCATGTATTTCTCTCAAATAAAAGTATAAATTAAAAATCATTTGATTTACTTTCATAAGAGTTAATAATCATCTGAATAACACATGTATAAATTTATCTTTACATTTGTAAAACGCACACATTTTAAAAATCATTCAAAACATTCTTTATTGCAAAGTAATACAATAGCGGTCATAAGTATCCGACCGCCCGAGATCGTCCAAAATTATTATATAACTACCTCTTAAATTTTCCAGAAATAT